TGCACCTAATACCGGGGTCATTTTTATAAAAGTCTTAGCAAAATTTGGCCTGCAGACCCTGCTGGGAGGCAGATTCAATTCCATAACAAAATCTGTAACCACATTTTTGTTGGGACAAGTTTGAAACTTCTAAAGCAATAACTCATAGGGTGTCATGGTGACTCAGTGGTTAGCACTACTGCCTCACAGTGCCATGACACAGGTTTGATTCCACCCTGAGGTGACTGTCTGTTTGGAGTTTGCATGTTCTCCCTGTGCCTGTGTAGGTTTCCTCCCACAGTGCAAAGATGTACAGGTTAGGTGTATTGGCCATGCTAAATTGCCCATAGTGCCCAGGGATATGCAGGCTGGGCAGATTAGCCATGAGAAATGCAGGGTTATAGGGACAGGGTGGGATGCCTCTTTGGAGTGCTGATATGGACCTGATGGGTCAAATGGCCTGCTTCTAAACTGTAGGGATTCCATTATAGGATTCGTTTTATTTAGTCAAGCTCAATTTTCCCCTGCTGATTGTGTGGCAACTTTGTCAGTGCCAGTTCCTATAACAAACATTCCTACAGTTCAGCAGCAAAGATCATGCTGACCTAAGATATTGCTGTGCACAACAATGGGAAAACAAAGAGACAACAGCTCATTCATAAATCCTGACACAGGCTCAAACAGGTTAATGATGTTAATGACATAGCACAGACCTACTGGCAACTGGGAAGACCTAGCCAGGTGCTCAGGAAACATAGCCAAGCAGTATAACTAACATCACCATCCCTGTCTTAGAACATGTACGCACGCACACACACACACACACACACTGCACTCATTGTATAGCATTACAGCAAACCAGTAAGACCAGAAGTGCTTGGAGCCACCGTGGCTCATTGTGCGGTGTTAAAATACGCAAGGAGCAGAATGTTGTCAAAATAAATGACTGCCTTTTAGAGAGCTGCCCCAGGACTCTTTGCTAAATGATTTCAACCTTTGGTAACAGAAACATGCCAATCAGACACGCATCAGTTTATTTTTACCTTCTCCCACTTACCCCTGCTGAGGAAGCATCCAGTAAACACTCAATTACAATTCAGATGGGTTACTGATCCAGGTTAAAACATAATCCTGGTTTTGACTTTGAAGATGTAGCGTTTTCCAAAGAACAGCACTTTGTGTTATTAGGTAATTTGTCAGATTTCAGGGACTATAAGAATGAGGAAGGGATCGAAGGGAGGGGAATATATAGAAAGTATACATGTTGGGGTTTGTGTTTTTCAAACAGAGGATCAATAGCACAGTCTGCCTTTCCTGCATCTGTCAAGCTCCTCACTCAAGTCTCAGCAGAGTTCTCAAGTTTATTTCGCACTCCCCTTACCTCTGCATTGTGTACCAGCTGTCTAAGACTCTGTACTCGAAAGCCAGGCAGTGAGTCACTGCTGGGAGAACTCTGCTCCAAGAGCATCTGTTCAGTGTAAAAGAAATACACGTACAATTAATCAATTTGAGAGGACTGGTACAATGACAGGTTTGCTATGAAGGTCTCAAACATCTGGTTACATTGTTTATCCCTCTCACTACATTACTTCTTGTAAAGTGACTGAATGAGAAATAACAGTTACTCCACAACTAAGCATTAATTTAACTATAAAAATTAATGATTTGTCCATGCCACTGCTTTAACTAGCATTTTTCCCTGGTAAGGATGTGCTGTTATTCCTTCATTCCCAATTCACCCTCTTCCTCTCTAAAATCCCAAGCGGTAAACCAATTCTCAACCAAGGAGGTACCAAAAAAACCTACAGTGAAGGTGGGATTGTGAGTGATGAGGAGGACATGGAGAGATTTAGGGTCAATTTACACAAGTTGAGTGAGTGGGAAAATGCACGGCACATACCGTATGACATGGATAAATGTGGCATTATACACCTCAGTATGTGAAACAGAAAGGTAGAGTATTTAAATGATGACAGATTGGGAAATGCTAATCTACAAAGAAATCTGGTGTCCTCGTATACTGGAAAGCAAATATGCAGGTTCAGCAAGCAGACAGGAAGGCAAACGGTATGTTGGCCTTCATTGCAAGAGGGTTGACTACAGGAGCAAGGAAGTCTTACTGTAGCTGTACAAGGCCTTGATAAGACCACACCTGGAATAATGTCTGCAATTTTGGTCTCCTTACCTAAGAAAAAGCAGAAAGGAGTGCAGTGAGGGTTCACCAGACTGATTCCTGGGATAGCCGATCTGTTGTATGAAGACTGATAGAGTTAACTGAGCCTGTATTAACTGGAGTTTAGAGGAATGAGAAGGGATCTCATTGAAAGATATAAAATTCTAACTGAACTGGACAGATGGATGCAGCGATAATACTCCCCCTAGCCAGGGTGTCCAGATAAAATGATCTTTATCTCAGGATACATGGTAGGTCATTTTGGACTGAAGTAGAGAGAAATTTCTTCAGTCAGAGGCAGGTGAACCTATGGAATTCTCTACCACAGAAGGGCTATGGAAGCCAATCACTAAATATATTTAAGAGAGAAATGGATTTTATATACTAAAGGTATCAAGGGGTATGGAGAGAGAACAAGGGCATGGTATTAAGAGAGAACATCTGCCTCAATCATGTATACTGGCAGGTTGGGCTGAATAACATACTCCCACTCACTAGGATCTGTTTCTATGTAAAAGTGAGGCTTTTACAGGGATGGACTTCAAAAGGCAGAATGCTTTTGTCCACTTTGATTCCTCCCACCACCCTTTATGTAACAGATCGATTCTATTCATAACCAGTTGAGGAACAATGAAGATAAAGTGGAGATTCAGATACAGGGTCAGTTATTAATTGAAACACTGTCCTCTCATCTATCAAAAGGTACAAGATGTTAAAGGAAAACTTTCTTTTTTTCTTATCAGCATAAATATTCTAAACACAACATTCCCTCTTTGCAGATTTTATCTCCAGTAAAGCCATTTAAAGCAGTGCCATGACTGGTCCATGCATCAGCTGTGGGATGAGCAAGACATTGATAACTGGACAGAAACATGACTGAGTTCAAAACTAGATAACACAGTGTGGAGCTGGAGGAACACAGCAGGCCAGGCAGTATCAGAGGGGCTGGAAGGCTGACATTTCGGGTTGGACCCTTCTTCAGAAAATTCTTCAAAACTAAACTGGTTTTATCAGCTCCCTTTAACGGCTCTCCTGAAAAGCTCTACCCCAATGAAAATAAGGAGAAAGTACACAACCAAAGTGAATCTTGCAACTGCTTCACCAATCACTGAAAAAGGGATACCAGATCAAGAGCCAGCACACAAACAATAGGCCAAATGGCCTCCTTTTACTGGGGATGCAACCTGCAAAGAGAGAACCTTGTTTTAAGTATCTTTATGTTGGTAAGAATTGAAGAACGTATGCCTTCAACAATAGGAATATGCTGTCTGTGTCTTTCAAAACGCAATCATTGATTCCGCTTTGTAACCAAATCTTTTGACTTTAATTTGGGAGACCCAATCAAGGATCCATCAACGTTTCACTGAGGCATATCATACGGGACCCATTTGGGGTTCAGTCTGGGTGACTGAGTGGATGGTCAAAGTTTCTTTTAATGTAGACCAGTGAGGACAGGATCAATATCCTACCTGGACACGCCGTGTAATTGCCTGATGCAAGAAACAAAGCATCGTTAGCGAAGAACATTCCATCACAATTTCCACGACACTGAGTGATCCATCAACAGAGAAATCGGCAATGGCAACCTGTAGGGAAAGGGGTAACAACAGATTCTGCTGGACAGGCTAGGTAAATCTATTAAGATTCATGCCATCTAAATGCTGCCTAAAAGTGGGATATAATCAATTGTGAATTAAATACTACAATCAAAGGAAATAAGCAATGTCTCAAACTCTTCATAACTTAATACTAAGATTTAAAAGTCCAACCCCCTCCTCACTTCAGCAAACATCACTCCTGCTGTTGAAAATTCTTGTTTCTCACTATCCCTGTATAGGTCTTTAAAACAGCGGGCAGGATTCATAAACGCAACATTAACCAACCGACAGTCTCTGACAGACCACGCATTAACCATTCACCTGCTTTGACAATATCCGGACACTGCTGCCATCTGGTGCAGTACAGTGCACCATTGGTAGAGGCTGCGTTCCTACTGTTGCCACCTCAGGATTGCCAGAGAACAGCCACTGAAGGATATCAGATCCATTCACCGCAGCATCTCCTGAGGGGAAAGGGAAAATACCAATTCAGTGGAAATGCGTTATAAGTCAGTCACAGAAAGGACACTCAATTAAAGTTAAAGGAGAATAAGTGGAAACCCCTTGCAATTCATTAAGTGATTCCACTGTAGTAATACGATAGATTAGATCGAATCTTGTTGCCGTTTTAGAATAAAATCAATTTTTCACTTGCTTAGAGATAATTGAGTTATGTTGCTGTTGTGGTCTCACTAGTGGAATCTGTAGAAAAAAGTAATGAACCTAAAACTCGAAATTAATTGTTCTGGAGCAATCCCCAAGAAATCAGAGAGGGGCACTTTGAAGTAACTTAATTTTGAAAATAGTAGTGCAGTTCACCATGAATAACGGCAGGGATATCAAAAACCATTCAGCCCATCGTGTCCGAACAAGTAACCATTCAGCATAATCCCATTTTCCAGCTTTTGGCCTGTAGCTTTCTAGGTTACAGCAATTCTGAGCAATTGCGTGTACCTTTTAAAAGTTATGAAAGCTTCTGCCTCTAACCCTTTTCCAGTTTCCTACCACCAGCTGGGTGAAAACAGTTCCTTCAAATCGCAGCAAAAAAAACTGCCACTTCTTGTACTAAGTCTATGGCCCTTGCTCTGGTCATATCAACTAAAGAGTACAGGGTCTTCCTATCCACTCTAACGAGACATTATGTTGTTTTAAATCAGGTCTACAGTTGGACTCATCTGTTGCAAAAGAAAAATAACCCCAAGCTATCCAATCTTCCCACATAACCCAAATTTTCCAATCCAGACTAATCATCTAGCTACTGGCAGAGAACCAAGTGTTTTCAGGACAATGGAACATCTCTTGATTTGGACCAGTCCTCCATTTTAAATTAGTACCTGCAGTAATATCAGTCTGAGATTGAATGGACAAGGGGGTCAGTAATATTTCAGTACACAAAATCTGCTTCTAGATGCCTCTCGTTCATTCCCGGAGTTAGCAACAATTTCAACACTGGAACAATAAAGTGTTGAACATTAATCTTGGGTAAATCCATTGGCAGAATTGGAGCTGCAGGACTTAGAAACAGTTCAGACTCTGTCTGTCAATAAAAATTGGGATCAGCATCAAGCACATTTTATGTCAAATGGAGACTGATGATCTCTATGTCTCATTTGCTTAATCTTGTAAGTTTTTGACTTATATAAACACTGTGACACAATGCACTGTCCTACTTCCTGAAATCAATTTATTTTCAAATTCCGTTTGGCAATATTGGTGGGAAGAAGATACGGCATCACATACTAAACAGTAAGAAATTAGCTGGCCTGAAGATAGAAAAAGGCCTGTCTCTGCCAAATAGTGTCTTTCGAATCAAACTTTTAACAAACCCACCCTTTCCCCGAATCAAGGCCATAAATGTCAAGAAGATAAGCAAGCGCTTCGATTAGACACAATCTTCACCACATTTATTAAGGCAGAACAAAATGAGATACTTTCCCCACAGAATTCATCTGTGTAACCAATGCCACAGATAGCCCTATGCTCAATAAGCCATGCTTATCAGTGACACTAAGTATAAGTTGCTCAAAGCCTACCAAACACCTCAGTTTCAAGAAAACTGTGGCCCAGAAGAGGTAAAGATACCCTAAACTGGACTAATCCATACTAAGCTAATTTAAAGCATTGGTACCATTAAACAGGAAGCATACTTAAGCCACTGGTTTTCACATGAAATTCACTAAAATCATGACCTCTATGGCTTTACTTTTAGTTTTTTTTTACTTTATCCTGGTTTCATAACACTCAAATATTCCTTTAGGCCATCAGTTCTGCGTAATCGTCCTGGAATTAAAAGGATTAATTACCTAGGTGTTCCTTCTAAGTGTAAACTGAGAGAAAACTGTATATTTTTTCCCCCTATATTTTTTAAACATAAGTTTCAAAAGTATTGGAGATGGAAAAACAGGCTGTTTGACTGGGTGGGCTGGTGACACAAGACGGTCATGTGATAAACCTCCAGGAATACATCCAACCAGAGCTGGCAACTTTGCGTGCTCTTCAGTCACAACTTTAATGTGGAAAGCCAAAATTTGAGATGGCCCTGCAGCTTGTTTTTCCAGTTTAAGTGGGCCATATAAAACCTTAGTGACAAAACAGCCCCTCAAAAAGAAAAACCTTTCAATGATAAAATCAGCTGCAGCATCTGTTATGGGCCGAAGTTCATCAAAATACTCATGGGTTTTTTAAAAAATATTATGCTTCAGCCAGACAGAGTTCTAGAAAATTCCATACAGAAGACTGCCAGGAGGGACACACAGCAGTTCCAAGAAGGCTGCAAGCTATTTAGTTCTGAATTTTTTGGGGCCCAGAATGCTGCAGGTGCCAGTGAGTTGCCCTGAAACTACAACAGCACCAATGCACTGTACTGTCCACCACTCCCCACTGTCTATTTTATATACAGAACCTCTACTGAAACAAGAGTTCATTCCTGACCTGGAGGAAATGCCAATTGTTCATAACCTGGGATAACACAGTGTGGAGCTGAAGGAACACAGCAGGCCAGGCAGCATCAGAGGAGCAGGAAAGCTGATGTTTCGGGTCAGGACCCTTCTTCAGAAATGTCAGCTTTCCTGCTCCTCTGATGCTGCCTGGCCTGTTGTGTTCCTCCAGCTCCACACTGTGTTAAGTCTGACTCCAGTATCGGCAGTTCTTACTATCTCTGTTCATAACCTCGGGGAGGGGTTGCTGAATCCACATGTAGAGACATAGTGAGAGGCTGGATGCCCATTGAATAGGCTGCCAATACATCAACAGTGAGATCCCCGAGAACAACAGCTAAATGTGTAACCAACCTCACGTGGAAAAAAAACTGATGCAGAACACAGCAAACCAAGGCAGGGTAACGGGTAAGATTTTGATTAAATCATTAGCTATTCTAACACTGTGCCGGTTTTCTGTTTCCACTGAAGTCAGGACATGCTGACAATTTGTCATTGCACATTTTGCACTGTCACACAGTCAAACTTGATCTCAGATAGCCTCCCAACATTTCAGTGGGTTAGCCCGCTGCGTTGTTTTGTGGAAATGACCAAGCGTAGCCGAGTCTTTGAAGGAGACTCTGACAATGGCCAGAGAGTATCCCAGAGAAATTCCGTGCACAAGTCCTTCCTCAGTGCTACCTGGTCACAAGTTTAGAATAGCCATTGTTAGAGGCCTTGGGTACACGTCGATGGTGCTGCCACTCAGCAGGTAAGTGTGCCTGAAACCAGAGCAGGTAGACAGGATCTTGGACATACATGTTTACAGCTCAGATCTCAGTCCATCATTCATAAATTAAACTTCCCTACCTTTGCCCAAATCTTGCAGAACAACCTTCGCCAGTTCAGAGGACAACTTGATGGAAGCTGAGAAAGTACTCTCACTACCCGGAACATTGAAAGAGCCTTTAAACGTTTCATTGCCTTTAATGTTGTCAGTTTCAAAGCACATCAAGGACTGCAGAAATATCGCCAAGGGGTCTGATGTGCTAGATTTGCGGTTGATGTTCAGAGCTGGCACGATTTCAGCTGCTCCTCCTCCGTGAATGTGCAGGCAATCTAACAAATCAATCACATGAGTGTTTACAGGCAAGCAAATTCCATTATTATCAGAACAGCCAGGAGCCATCATGGAACTGTCAGGGAAGGGGCGTTCATTGTCATTTCCTGTCAAAATACTGTTCAAGTTATAATAGAGAAAGCAGTGAACTGACACAGGAAGTGCTATAAAATCATCACTCGCACAGTTCAAAGGGACAGCGACCTCCATCTTCTTTCCAGGTGCAAGCTCACTGATGGGAAAGTTGTAAGTAAAGGCTGTGCTGTCTGAGCTTTTGGTCAAAGCAGGTGTCTGGATAATAACCCTGACACAAAGAGACCATCGGTGTTCCAACGGCCAATCGCTGAGGTTCTCCAAAATGCAGGAAACAACCAGTGAATCCTGTAGCAGTAAGCGGTTCCACTTTGCAGTGACGTAGCAGCTGATTGGTTGTTTAGAAGGTACCATTCCTTTCTCCTGATCTTCTTGATTGGACAGCAGTCCACAGCATATGTTGAAATCCTGGTTCAGCCCTTTTAAAGCTTTGTCTTTTTGCTGCATGACATGCTTCAAGGACGTGATTCTGGGGACAAAAAATAATGACAAGTGAATTTTGATTTTATTGTTGTTCTGATCCTCTCATGTCCAGCAGTTGCTGGTTTTGCTGGGAGAGAGTTCCACAGATGGCAGTACTCTCTGCCTTCAAGCTGCCAGTCTTCCTAAAACGTCAAAAGTGTTGGGAGCAAGCAATCCAACCAGGAATGGTGCCACAGCAAAACCCAATGTGGTATCATTTTCTGATCAGGAATAGCAACCCCATCTTAAACAAGGGCCACTGTTGTCAACTGCAAACTGCCACGTACGAGTGGTCTGCCTGTCTCAGAACTAACCGTGCAGTGCATCTTCATAGCTATAGAAAAGGTTTCACTCATATTATCTTCCTACCTGTCAGCGACATTGCCAATGCCAGCGAGAAGATCCTTAATGCGTTGTCCTGCAGTAGCTGCTTTGAAGTTCATACTTTGGGCTGCACTCGAACTATAGGGTAAAGTACACATCATCACCTTGCCTTTCTCAGTCAGTGCTACAAAGCTGATGTCACCTGGTTAAAGACACAAGTTGTGAACAAAGAGAAACCTCACATCATCCATTTCAGCAAACCTGCATCGCAGTCTCAAAACCCAAGAGGTGACAATTAGATTCCTGAAATTTGCTTAAATCTTGCCATCAGAGTCA